TCTAGGTACAATATCCTTACAATATAAATCTATCGTTTCCCGATGTTTTTGATCCATTATTAAATAATGATAATAATATTATACTAATTAATAAAATCTATGTCATTTATAAAATTACTAACTTATTAAATTACTAACTTATTTAATTATTTTGATTTTATTTTCATTCGTAAATATCATTTTACTTTATTTTTCCTAATATAAATCAATATTGATATCAAAAATGATTGATTATGAAAAAAGTCATAAAATGAATCACATACTTGAAATATTCACATATCACAGTTTGATTCATATTCATATATTTCGATACATTTGTATTAGTCAAATCTTATTAAAAATAATATTGTTAAATATGTTTAAAATAATATTAAAAAGTAATTTTTTATAATATAACGTTCTATCTAAAAAAAAAAGAAAAAAATTAAACGGAAGTTTAAATTAATAATATATAAAAAAATATTTAATTAACATATTTCGAGTTTAAGAATCGATAGATTAAGCAATATAACAAACTAATCGATTAATCGAATATGAAAATTTCAATATATTTTTGTCTAACCTCTAAGAACAAATGTACTTATTTAATAATAGAAGGAGTTACATATTAAATTAATTAAATAATACATAAAGATATTCTACATTAATAAATACAAGACAGACGAGGTATAAACATTAAGAAACATATCCAATATATCTTTTTATTTTTTATTTATAAAGTTCTAATGTCCTATCATTTTTATCATTTTTATCATTTTTATGTTATTCATAAGTTATTTATTTTAAATAAATTATTTTAATATATATTATAATAGAAATTGAAATTTAAAAAAAAAGTTATAGATACATATATGCTCTTCAGATTTATTTTTGATTATTTATACTTATTTAAGAGCATAAAGATTGTAATTTATTAAAATATTAATCAATAATAATAATTATAATTTATTAAAATTCTAATTAATAATGAAAAAAATTAAATTAATAATAATTTCTTCATTAATAATAATCTTTTGTATGCAAAAGTCTTATTGCAATATTATTATTTTATAGAATTTAAAATATATAAAAATGCTAGAATAGTTAATAAATTAAATGAAAAATATTCAAAACTAAATGCTTCCGATAAAATGAAAAATAAGTACTTTATAAATTTTCTTCGTAAAGAAAAATTTTTCTATTTTATTTATTACATATATAACTAATTACATAAATTCAATTATAATAGAAAATATGATTTGATAAAAACTAATACTTTCGTTATATAATACACTGTTCTCTTAACTACTGATTTATTCTTACTTCTGATTGGCTATTTGCTTGAATCAGGCAAGCAAACAAAAAGCTGCAAGCTAAATAGGGAATTTAATATAAACAAATTAACTAACATTATAAGTAATTATTTATTTGAATAAAAAATTCAATTATTTACGGATTTTCAATCTTTATAAATCAAAATATTTCTGAATAAATATTTATTAAAAATATTACAAAGTTAGTAGTAAATTTATCAACATCAAATTCCCTATATCCAGTTTACCGTAGTACTTTTGTGATAATAAGGCGAAATTTCTAAAATTTTTTACAATATATAATACATTTTATACAATATTTATAATTTGCAAATATTATTACAAGAAAAAAAAAGAAACAAGTGAGTCATAAAAGTGAGTTATAAAAAGTCCTAAAAATACTTTTCTTGGAAAATGGAATTTCACACTATCTTCATAACATAAAATATTTCTCTTTAATAAAAAAAACATTTATATATATATTATAAATATATATTGTAATATATATTATATTTATCAATAATTTAAAAAATATTTATATATATATAATAAATGTAATATAAATGAAATGAAACAAATATTATTTGCATTAATATTAATTCTTTTTCCATTTCATTGATGACATTAGATTTTATTTTATAAAAAGAAATGAAAACACTAAATTCATATGGTGGTTCTTATCATATATATTACGTTCTAAAGATCATATTTTGGAAAAAATTAATAGATTTTAAATGCCAATATATGCGCTTCTTTAAAATTTAAATGGCTGAAATTACAAAATTTTGCAATTTTTTAATTTTTGCCTTTTTAACATCAGATTCTATGTGTAAATTCTTTTCGTCTTCAATCTGACAATAGGTTATGTTATCTATTCGGTTTCTACTATCAATTTATTTATTTTCACAAATGTTGTTATATTTCTCTTAATTTGCTAAGATTTGCTAGATATTAATATATATGATAAATAGATCTTGTATTAAATTTTCACTTTTTTTTACAAATAATTTTGCAAAATCTGTTATTTGTAGATTTGGTTGATTGAATTTAGTTGAATTTAAATTTAAATTAAAATTTGTTTCAGATTGCATATTTAATTTAATTTAATTTAATTGTTATTTATATATATAAATATATGAATTTAATATATATAGATTTCTATAAATCTCTAAAAAATTATAAAAAATAATTTNATAATTTAATAAATAATAATATATTTATAATTTTCAATAATAATATTATTTTCATTTTTTAAATATATTTATATTTGTATTTATATTTTTTTTTATATATTTATATTTTTTAATATATTTCTTTTATCTTTTATCTTTTATATATTATATATTTCTTCGTTTGTGCTTCTGGTATCATTTTATATCGAATATAATATGGCTTCTTTTATTTTTCTATCATATTATTTTTATTCAAAACTTAGTCTCTTTGTAGTTATCTTTTTTTAATATTTGATTGTTTCATTCACAATTTACTGCTTTTTTGTTTTCTTTTTTGTTTTCTTTTTATCTTTTTTTCATTTATTATTACAGATATTTTTTGTTAATATATAAATCCTAAAGATTATGTAAATAAATAAGTACATATAAAGCATTTATATGTATATATATAGTATATATGTAATATTGTCAATATTGTAGCAAATAGTATTTCATTATTTAAAAATGTTTGCTATTAATAATGTGAAAGAAAAATCACGAATAAATCGATAAATAAAGAAAAGAAAATTAAAAAAAATTTTTTTTAAAGAAAATATCATATGTAATATAAGCATTACATACAAAAAAGAGATATAAATTGATTAATAAATAATGAATTTACTTTAATATGAAGTAATAGAGATATCTGCTGTTAATAATGTGAAATAAAAATCATAAATAAATCGATAAATAAAAATATATATATGAAAATTTAAAAAAATATCATATGTAGCATTACGTATAAAAAAAAATACAAATTGATCAATAAATAATGAACTTTAATATGAAATAATAAACAGAGAATATATAACATGTGAATATAATATGACGAATATCACGCCAAAGTTCATCCGATAAGCCGCATCTCGCAATACTCTCTCTTTCTCTCTCGACATCCTTACTTGATTGTCGTAGATCTTATTATCCCCTCTTGTTTCTAAAAGGGACCAAACTACAGCGATATATATGCGCTCATATACTCTCTATTCGTGTCTATTTCTGCACGTGTTTGCACGCGTTTGTAAGCGTGTATATGTATACCTAGAGGTTAGCTCGACGAAGGGTGAAGTCCCCTTTGTAGCCTCGGGCCAACCTTGTTAGCGCTAATGATGGACTCCTACGCGAGATCCGCGAATGAAACAATTCGGATCTTCGGATATTTAGACATCGTTCTCGCGATTGTTCGTTTCGCAAGCATATGATTACTTTACGATTATTTTCTTGCATATATATATATATATATATATCTAAAAAAATATTTTCTAAATTAATATATTTCTCGAATGTATTATCATAATTTCGATTAATCCTCTAATAATAATAATTGCGAACATAATGTGCAATATTATTTATATCATCACTCGATAAATATCGATGACGAGTGAAACCGAA